TACTTAGTCCATGAAGCCAACAGATTAAATTCTTCTTCATTTTTAGAATCTCAAAAGATAGCACTTAGCTGCAACATGAAGGGAGAGTAAGAGCAGAACCAGGGTAATTTCTCCCTTGCCACAGAGTTCACATTTTCATCCTTTTGCTGAGGTGTGGCAAAGTCACATTGTATCTATCATCTAGCAGAGCAGATCCAGTACTCTAAATCCTTTTCTGAATTCTCTCAGTTGCAGAGGGGAAGAGTATTTCCAGCTCTGTATTTGCTTAAATAACTGCTGATCAGAACAATAACAAAAATTTCTGCTGGTACTGGGGCTTGAACTCAGGGCCTGGACACTGTCCCTGAGCATTATTGCTCAAGGCTGATGCTGTACCAAGTGAATGATACCTCTACTTCTGGTTTATTTGCTGGTTAATTGAAGATAAGAGTATTACAGATCTTTCTGCTTACTTTGATTCCAAACCTCGATTCTCAAACCTCAGCCTCCTGAATAGCTAGAATGGCAGGCGTGAGCCACTAGTACCAGATGAAAACAAAAATTCCTGATGCTAAATCTGAAGGTCAAATGAAAATTTCTGAGTGGATCAGATTTTAAAAGCCTTGTAACAGGGAGAATAGCTTACATATCTTGAATAGTTAGGCCAATAGAGAGCCTGTTGCATAGAGTATGTGAATTTGTCAGATACAAAGACTTTAAATGAGCCACTTATTAAGTGTAGTTAATAATAATTGCTGGGTTCCATTGCCTTTGCCAGGTAAATGCTAAGATAACTGCTGATTATCCCCAGTACTTACAAAGTGATAGCAGATAAGCCTAATAGAATTTGAATTTAAATGGCTGTAGGTTGGTTTTTTTTTTTTTTTAACCTTCCTTTTCCACCTCTGTGAAGTGGAAATTCTGCAGTCATCAACAGAAAAAAAAGTATACATTCAGACTTAGGCCATACTTTGATTATCAAGCACGCTTAGTGTATCAGTTCTCCAAGAACAATCACAACATGAACTGGATCAGGCATGCTGAACTGTCCAAAAACCTGAATAAAAATATTGCTCATAGACAGGTGCCAGTGGCTCACACCTGTAATCCTAGCTACTCAGGAAGCTGAAATCTGAGGATCGTGGTTCAAAAACAGACTGGGCAGGAAAGTCCGTGAGATTATATCCAATAAACTACCCAGAAAAGACTAGATATGGAGCTGTAATAAAAGTGAAGGACAGCCAGGTGCCAGTGGCTGTTGCCTGTAATCCTAGCTACTAAGGAGGCTGAGATTTGAGGATCATGGTTCAAAGCCAGCCAGGGCAGGAAAGTTTGTGAGGCTCTTATCTCCAATTAACCACCAGAAAACCAGAAGCGGCATTGTGGCTCAAGTGGTAGAGCACCAGCCTTGAGCTGAAGAGCTGAGGGACAGCACCCAGGTTCCAGAGTTCAAGCCTACAACCAATGACAACAACAACAACAAAGAAAGAAAGAAAGAAAGTAAAAAAGAAAGAAAGAAAGAAGGAAGGAAGGAAAGAAAGAAAGGAAGGAAGAAGGAAAGAAAGGAAGGAAGAAGGAAAGAAAGGAAGAAGGAAAGAAAGAAAGAAAGACAACCACTACTCTCCAGAAAATACAGTCTGCTGGAGCAGTGCTTCTCAAACTGTTAATATGCATACAGATCACAAGAGGAATTTGTTAATATGCCAATTTTCATTCAATGCATCTGTGGTAGGGTGCATCTACCACATGTCCTTTTGCTGCCTGTGTTGTTAGCATTTCAGTAGGAAGGTATTAAAACACAGGTGTGCTACATCACACAAACAACTAACTGTATGCTTGTGAAAGCACTATGAAGAAAAAAAGTGCAGGGGCAAGAGATCAAAGAAAGCATCAGACCTAATCTCTCTCTCAGGCTAGGAGAAGGGATAGGACTTCTAAGATAAAAGCTAGAACATGGTAAAATGTAGCAGGCTAAGGGATTAAGACCATCAGTGGGTAAAGCTCTTCACATTCTTCTACGAATATGTGTTTTTGAGATGCCAGGGTGTGCTTGGCTTGTGCTGAGGGGTTGCTAGAAATGTCTAAAGCCACATAATCTTGAGTTTCTGGCTGAGGAGAAGTAGATTGTAAATATATATTCTAGCTTCATCATCCCTTAATGAAACGTGCTGAGTAATGTCTCTCGGAGGGTTCCCAGAAAAATCAATCCCTTTTTATCCACAACTTCCCCCCCCTCTCTCTGCCTCACATTGAACTAGAATTGTATTTATTTGTTTGTTTATTTATTTGGTACTGAGGATTGAACTCAGGGTCTTTCACTTGAGCCACGTCCCCAGCCCTTTTGTCTTTAATCTTTTTAGATGGGATCTCTCTCTTTTGACAATGGGTTGACTTCAGATCATGATTTGTCTTATATGTACCTCTTGCATAGCTGAGATTACAAGGTTGAGCCACCGTATAAAAGAGCCTGTAGATTTACATTTGTTATTATCAGTCTTTTAAATAGTATATCCTGTAATGTTCTTAATAAATATATTATTTAAAAATCAAAGATTTTGTGTATTTACAAGGTTTTTCAGATATGTGAATTACTTCTAAAATGTTAGTGTTATGTAGATCAGTGTGAAGCAATTGATTAGAAGATGCTATGTCTTACTCTGAGCAAATGTCTTCCTCCTAATTCTCACACCATTCTAGGGATGGTCAGGACTATGATATATGTTATTATGGTCTATATATCTCTCTTTCTTCTGATGTCCCATTTTTCTACATAGAATACCAGAAAGTAAGGTCACTAATACTTACTCTAGAAACCCAAACTCATCCTAAGTGACTCAAAATAGCTAAACCTGGCACCAGTGGCTTATGCCTGTAATCCTAGCTGCTCAGGTCTAGTCCAGGCAAGACAAATCCATGAGACTTATCTCCAATTAACCAACAAAAAGGCAGAATTGGAGTTATGGCTCAAGTTGTAGAGATCTAGCTTTGAGGGGAAAACAACAACAAAACAAACAAACAAACAAAAACCCCTCAGCGACATCACCCAGTCCCTGAGCTCAAGCCTCATGACTGGCAGCATAATATTTGGAATTTCCACTTACTATTTATTTTTAAAAGGTTTTATTGACCTATACTACACTCACCAAATCACAGCCATAAGATTGAAAAGCCATATAGATCTAGCCCAAATGCTAAAATATATTCAAAATTCATTCAATTGAATTTCTGGATTTTCCTATCTTTTTCTTATAATGCATCAGATTATTGATTTAAATGCAGAGTCCTGTTTAAATATCTAAGACACTTGCAAGAAGGGAATAATGAATGTCTTCTACATTGGGAAACAGGAAGAGAAGGAAAGAGATGCTGTGGTAAAACCACACATCAGCAAGAGCAAGTATTATGAATGATTCATGATGTTTACTATGACTTGCTAAGATGCATGGAATTTTCAGGAGGAAAAGTGAGAGTGATGATAGCAGTAAATAAATAAATACAATGGGAATATTATCCTGGCACCTTCTTTCTCTCCCCTCATTCATGTGAACAGTCAATGAAGTAGGTCAAAAGGAGTCTGAAAGAGTGCTGATGTGCACTAGTCATGAATGGCAACTTTCATTCTGATTATAGATCTTTTAAAACATCATGAAGTTTAAGAGAAGTTAGTTGAAACAGTTTTTGAACTTTCTGAATACAGTATTTTTTTTGTTACTCCCAGCTAAGATAGCAGATGATTTATTTTCTAAAGTGCTATAGACTTGTCTAAGTTGCTTTAAAAAGAGTCCTTATACCTGGCACCAGTGGCCCATGACTGTGATCCTAGGTACTCAGGAGGTTGAGACCTGATGATCATGGTTCAAAGTTAGACCAGCAGAAAAGTTGTGAAATTCTTTTTTTTTTATTAATTTTTATTTTTAAGTTGTGAAATTCTTTTCTCCACTTAATCACAAAAAAGAAAGATGTTTAGTTCTAATGTAAAGATGTTTAGCTCTAATGTTCCAAATGAACGTTATAAGCATTGGCACTTAATTGCAGAGAAACATGACATTATAATAGTTTAAGGTTAAAATCACAGATCACACAGACAGCAATTGTTCTCCAACATTCATTACCAAGAGCATGAACTCTATAAGCTTGGAGAAGTTATGAAGCAATGTAGTAAGACAACCTAAATGTGGTAAGACAACCTAAAACTCTAACTGATTTACAAACTTTTTTCCCATTTGGATGTGGAAATACATCTTCTTCTCAAACCATGGAACATCTCAAAGAGAAACAAATGAGGCCAATGCTCACAGAAAAGGCAGGGTGTTGCATTTAAAACTGCCAAGGGAATTCTCAATCACAATTAGCACGTCTTTATTTCCTTGGATAAAGTAGGGAAGCAGAGTCCAACAAAGAGATGAGAAGTTAAATAATGCTGTCTCTGTTGTAGCCTGGAGAGGCAGAGTTGTCACTTGATTCCTCTACCCCTCTTACACACACAAGGCACAGGAAATCTCCACAAGACTGGAACTGTCTACAAATGATTCTGACGCCAATTGCTCTGTCCACGACAGAAACACAATGGGTGGGTGTAGCCTGATGACCACAGGCAAGTTCCTTTCTCCAGGTCTTCCTGCCAACTTTCATGCATGGGTTTCTGGGATCCAAGGTCCTTAAATGCCCTAAGCTGCAACAACAACAACAACAAAAATCCATTCCCTTCGTCTTGGTGGCAACTTTTTGTTTTCTCCTGATCCTGATAGATTGTGTTCCCAGTGCCCAGGCGCCAGCTGCATTCTTGACCCCTGAAGAAATCAGACTGCTCAGGGCTTGGCAGAGCTCTGGCCACATTTCCTGTCGGTGGCCTAAGGGAAGCTGTTGGCCGCCTTGACGGGGCTCGGGTGGGGACTTGTGGCGGTTGGGGGGTGGGGGGGGAAGAAGGAAGGGGAGGAGAAACGGGATGAGGGGGGGGGAGCTGGTTCTGGAGGGCAGTGACCACAATCCAGAGACAGCTCTGCGCTCCGGGGAGGGACCAACATAAGCTGGGAGCCGCCGTGGGCACAGGGCCTCAAAGATGAGGCCCGCACTTGCCTTGTGCCTCCTCTGCCAGGTATTCTGGCCCAGACCGGGCAGTGGCGAACATCCCACGGCCGATCGAGCAGGTTGCTCGGCGTCGGGGGCTTGCTACAGCTTGCACCACGCGACCATCAAGCGGCTGGCAGCCCAGGAGGCCTGCAACCTGCGCGGCGGGACGCTCAGCACGGTGCACGGGGGCGCGGAGTTGCGGGCGGTGCTGGCGCTCCTGCGGGCGGGTCCCGGGCCGGGAGGCGGTTCCAAAGACCTTCTGTTTTGGGTGGCTCTGGAGCGCGGGCGATCCCACTGTACGCTGGAGAACGAGCCATTGCGAGGCTTCTCCTGGCTGTCCCCCGACGCCGGCGAGTCTGACAGCGCCACGCTGCCGTGGGTGGAAGAGCCACAGCGCTCCTGTACGGTGAGGAGTTGTGCGGGACTCCAGGCCACCCGCGGGATCGAGCCTGCAGGTTGGAAAGAGATGCGATGCCATATGCGCGCCAATGGCTACCTGTGCAAGTACCAGTATGAGAACTTGTGTCCGGCGCCCCGTCCTGGGGCCGCCTCAAATTTGAATTTCCGCGCTCCGTTCCGGCTCAGCAGCTCCGCGATGGACTTCAGTCCTCCGGGGACCGAGGTGAGTGCCACGTGCGGCGGGGAGCCAACCATCACGGCCACCTGCGTGGCGGAAGAGGCTGGCGCGCGCTGGGACGGGCTGTCCCCAGAAGCAGTGCTCTGCCCCTGTCCCGGGCCGTATCTCCGCGGGGGCCAATGCGCACGGCTCTCCGACTGTCTGGACGACTCCGGAGGCTTTGTCTGCAAATGTATTGAGGGCTTCGAACTGGGGAAGGATGGACGTTCTTGTGTGACCAAAGGGGAAGGGCAGCCAGCCCCTGGGGGGTCCCACGTACCCAGCAGGAGCGTGCCAGTCACTGAGGCCAGTCTGGGGCCAGAGAGAACATGGTCACCCCGAGTCCGCGAGGAGTCCAGTGTCACTGGGCGAGGCATTTCTGCGACATCTGTTCCTGACATTCTTCCGTGGGGACCACACAGCACCATAACTACCCTGCAACTGTCCCCGCAAACCACCCCACCGGGAAGTGTGGACCCTGGGCTTCATTCTACCGTTTCCATTCCAAAGGCCTTTGACTACTCCTCCACTGTGGTCTTCATACTCGTAAGCATAGCTGTGGTGGTATTGGTGATCTTGACCATGACAGTGCTAGGTCTTTTCAAACTCTGCTTTCACAAGAGCCCTTCCTCACAGCCAAGGAAGGGAACTTTGGGTTCACCTGGCGAGGAGAGTGATTCAGAGGCCACTGCCTTACGCTCCAATTCTGCACATTGCCTGGACAATGGAGTGAAGGCCAGGGATTGCAGTGTGTGGGCTCAAGCAGAAGATGCCTCCCCGTCCAGGCACTCTCTTGGCTCCGGGAACACTTAGGGACACCGAGGACGTGAACACTGTTCTTACAGACCTTTCAGAGTTTACTTGTGGAATTACAATTCCTACAGTCATTCCCATTCCAATCATTTTCCTCTGGTCCACCTAGGAGCCATGCTATTGCATTTGAATAGCTTGCTCAGTCCTAGGAACTGGAAGAGGTTAAGTGCCTGAGGGGTGGGTCGGAGGGCAGGGTCATTCAGGAGGAGATATTTGGTGATGTTTCTGAGGAATTTGGAGAAGCAGCAAATAGAAAACAATATAATGTTTGGAAAGTTAATTTTTTCCCCCCAAATAGAAAAGTGTTCAGACTGGGAATATATTTGCTTGAAAACTTCCAGACCAAAAAAATAAAAAATAAAAATAAATAAACAAAGGATATTTGGCAACCCAGATTCAAATATATTTGGCTTTGGTAAGAAATAATTATTTAAGAAAAGAGCATGATGGACATCACTACTAGAGGACATGGTACTTTTAAATTGAAAGGAAAATCCTTAAGCCCTTGTAAGAAGGAAAAGATCTTTCAGAACTAGTAACTTTTCCCTTTGTTCTTTGTCCTTTGCTTTCAAAGTCACTGCTACTTGTGTGCTTTGCTATAAATCCAACATGTAGTGTTGCCAGACACTGGCTTTGGAAGCAAATTACAGTTGACCACCAATTCAACTGTTTATTGTGTGTCCTTGCCCAAGGAAACAAATGATTTGTGTTTCTCTCTTTCCAATGTGCTCTACAGTGTAATGACCTCTCCAACCAAATCACCTCCTCTGCTTCAACATCAGGATGCTGATCCTCACTTTTAATTATGCTGATGTTAATTCTCAATTAAAACGTTAATGCTAATTATTGATTTGAAATCTTCTGGGTGCATTTGAGTGTAAGTAAGCTGGGTTTTCTCCAAAGTTGCTAAATTCTTATGCATTTTTAATCTAGAAGCAAAAGTGGAGTGCCAAACTCCTCCCCTTCTCTTCTTAATAAATGTGATAATGCATGTTCATCTTGGAATGATTACAAGATATGGTCAACAGCTTTGCATAGAAGTGAGAGAATAAGAAAGAAATGATAAAAGCCTATCATGTTATTGTGACTTGGGGTGTTAGAAAGTAATGAAAATGAAGCTTTCTGCTGAAAAATAACTAAAGACATAATTAAAATCACTAGTGGAATCCAGGTCCCTAGGAAACTGCTCATTTTTATTCATATGCTGACTTCAAAAATGTTGTAGAGGTTGACACCTCTGTTGTGGAGAGATAGAGAAACAAGTCTCCTTGTGGGAGAAACAGGAAAAAGTCATATTTTCCTAGAATTATTTTTACTTTCTTGAGTATACTATGCTCATACTTAAATATTTAGGTTTAAAATGAGTGAATGTCCAGTGATAAAATAATCTACTAGAAAATTAAAACAGTTCAATCCATAAATCTATGTTCTAAATTTATGTAGCTGATATAGTAATATCAAAGGAATGAAATAATGGATTATTTGCCTCATCTAATAAATATATTTATAAATAATAACATTTAAATATAGTCACAGATGATTGGAATTAACAATATATGATAGAAATTTAAGTACCATAGTTTCACAAGTGAAAACTGACCAATATTATAAATGCCCTTACTCACATCCTCCAGCTCATCAGAATTCACCTGCCTTGGCTGTCATGGCTTTCCTCTTCACTATATGATCTGTCAGTAGAGAAGGTTAACTACTTGAGTGGAGTAGACATAGTGCTGTCTTTACAACTTCAAAATAGTCTCATCTATAACTGAACTGAATATGTATGCATGTAAATGTATGTATATGTGGATATGCATACCCATACATATCCTTTTTTTAAAAGGATGCTCTTGAATGATTGCTTCAATAAAATAGACCATGTGTAATTAACTCATTATGCAACAGATGACATTATGGATCTTTGGCTCTAAATGCCCTGGTGAAGAAGAAATAGGTGTCAACTCAATTGTCCCCTTATTTCCTCTTATAAGTGAATCAGGAAAGAATTATATCAGGGACTATTGTCTCCTCTTATTTCCTCTTATAAGTAGATCAGGAAAAAAATTATAGGAAGATGTTTGTTTTTATCTTTGATTCCCTAGCAGATAGTAACTTCAGAGAGTCACTGCATTGCACAGAATTTCCTTTGCTTTGTGTCTATTTGATTTCTTCCCTAAAATATTGATTGCACAGCAGAGTCAAAACTGTTGGACATGATCTCTTAAGAGTCTTTCAGAAGTTAGGGTCAATGTCCTTCCTCCCTAATATTTACTTAAAAGCTTCTGGGGCCATGTTCATCTTCTAGTTTCCTGTTCACTTATTCCTTATAATGAAGACTGAGAATCAACTCTGCAGTCCTTCATTCCATCCTAAACACTGTCATTACCTCAGAAACCATCTTGCCTGACTCCTTAATGTATGCGCTTTTTGGTTCTCTGACTTCCTTGTCTCCGGTGACTTCCATTTCATTTCAGCTGTGCACTCCATGGCCATATTCTTTGAAAACTCCAAGTCTGTTCTGCCTCTTGCAATGACCACAAGGTCAGTGCTTTTCACAGCTACTTTGAAAGGTGACTTTTTCTAAGGATTCCTTAGTGCTAGAGAGGTGAGATAGAAATAAGACAAATTAAGATGTGATGAAACTCACTTTTCTTATCCAGACTGACCTATTTTTCTCGAGCAGACACTTCTTGAACTATTCGTAGCCTTTCATTAATTCCAAGAGTCCTGAAAATTTTGAGTTTGACATTTTTCCCCCATCAGGTTCCTCATTAAGTAGAGCAGATTTTCAGAAAACTCATTCTACCATGAGAAAATGCCATCAGTGTGTTTCTTTTACTTATCTTATCTCTTTAGACTTCTTCATTCTGGAAAAATTCCCCAGTCTCTCCTTGACTTCTAAGACATTAATAGTTGGAGAGATAATATGCTTGTTATTTTTGTGTGTAATGCTCTTAAAATAACATTTGTTTCCTCATTCAAGCTACATGTACTTGTCTAGAATATTGAGAAAGGGTGCTTTGTTACCTTATCTCCCTAGAAGTTGGCAGATGATTTAAAGATTTTCTTGTGTGTTTTTTCTTCCCTTTGAATATTTTTCTACTAGACATTCCTCTTTTGTGATTAATAAGCACTTAGTAGGCAGATAATTTGAGACTATGTGAATATCCTGTTTCTTTTAATATTTTTACTTATATCAGTGTATATTCATGTCTTTTCATTTTATTCAATAGGAAGCTAGTGTTATTGTTTATTTTGATATTCAATCATCTCAAGTTTGTGTAATATGACCCCCTTTCAGCTTGTCTCTTGTGGTCTAACAGGTCCTCAACATTCCTTGGAAAGTTTAGTGCAGGTTTGTAATCTTCTCTGTTTATGTTTAATAAACTCTGGTCAATTTTAGAGGAAAATGATAATCAGAAAACATGATTTGTGTATAGGTTCTTGTCCCTAGATTTCTCCTTAATAGAGTTAGGGTGTGTAGGTGTGTGTGTGTGTGTGTGTGTGTGTGTGTGTGTGTGTGTGTGCATGTGTGTGTGCATGCACTTATGTGTGTCAATATACGTACAAATTGGCTTAAAATGCATAAATATATTTGAAGCTATAATTTCCAATCTAATTTTTTTTATCTATACTGTATTTACATTTAAAACTACGATGTACATTAGTATTATCTCATTTGAATTCAGTGTTTTTTGGTTTTGGGGTTTGTTTGGTTTCTTTGGTTTTGTTTGTTTGCTAATCCCGGGGCTTGAAGTGAGGGCCTGGTCTAATTCTAATTCAATACACAGGGTTCAGTCTCCTTATTATGATTAGTATCGTAATCTCTGGTCCCATTACAGCATCTGGGGTCACTAGCACTGGTTATATAAAACCTCTCCTCATTGAACTTGGCCTCTACAAAGCCAAGTACTCAGATTCCAAACTCTGTGCATGAACAGAATGGCTCATCCTTCTACTGTTATGGACTCTGACCTTGCTTGGCCCTACCTACTCATTGGTCTTTTGTTTTTGTCTGAAATGTTTAGAAAAGGAAAGGAAGAGGAAGAAACATAGAATTCCTATGGCAATGTAGCCTTGCTCCATCTATCATATTCATGTACTTTCCTTTTTCAAAGCTATTTAGGCCAAACTTTTCCTTTCTCTTTATTTGGTAACCCCCAATTCGTCCTTCAGGCAAAAATAGGACATCATTTTACTGGAAAGAAGTTTCCAAAAATCCACCTGCAGGATAGGATCTAGTATTATACAACTGCATTACTTTACCTCCCATGTAAGTTTGGTTGTTGCTCAATAGATATTCTAACCACCCTGTTTATACCACCTTGTTTATATGAAATAGCCTATACTTCAGAACTCTTGTGGTTATTTAGAAAGATTGAATGCATGTAAACATACCACCTTCAAATGTAAAATAAAAAAATAGAATAGTAAAATAAAAAGTAAAAATAAGAAATAGATAAATTAAAATAAAAAATTAAAAATACAACAGCCTATATACTATAGGCCAACAATTCGGAGTTTATCATATTAAAAAAGTTCCTAAAAATAAGTTGCTTTCAGTATCTACCTTCTATCAAAAAAATCTTATTAATATTAAGTTAAAATAAAACTATGTTCTTGGACAATATTTTCCACAATATAGCTAGTTAGATGAAATATCTCCACTTAAATGTTAATTCTCTTAGTAATCTAGAGATATATTTAACAATAATTCACATCAGAGGACATTATGTGAAGTCATACTATTGAGTGTTAAATACTTCACAGGAACATTACTTGTCTCTCTCCTTAGTCAAACTGAACATTGACTAATTCATAGCTAGATGCTAATTAGCCCAAGAAAATAATCATTAGGGCTTTTTTCTTAGATCATGGTATCTTTTTTACAAAATATGAAGTATGTAAAAATATATGGCATATATAATCATTTTTATTTGTATGTGTAATATATTGATATTTTATTAGCATTAGAAAATATAGGCTAAAGAAAATATAATTCTATTAAAATATCTTGTTTCACCAGAGATGTAGCTCAGTGGTAAAATATTTTTATTTCCTCAGAATGAATTAACTTTTTGTTCCCACCTAATATTGATTAATTCAATGTGAATAAATATCCTATGTGATAATATCTGCTTTACTGAGGCTGAGTTGAAATTAATCAATTATATATTAAAAAGTACTATTTACTGGGTGCTGGTGGCTTACTCCTGTCATCCTACTAAAAAAAAACTATGATCTGAGGATTACAGTTCAAAGCCAGCCAAGGCAGAAAAGCCCATGAAACTCTTATCTACAATGAACCATCAAAAAGTCAGAAGTGGAGGTGTGGCTTAAATGGTAGAATGTTATACTTGAATAAAAAAAAAAACAATGAAGAATGAGAGATCTGGAATTCAAGTTCCAATATTGGAACTTGACTACTGGACATATTTGACACATTTAAAACTTGTATCACTCTTAACACAGTGAGGAGAATCAACAGCCATAAGATGCCTGGAGTTTCCTCATTCCCTGTTGTAAGCCATGTCCCATGCTTTATGACCACATAAACTGAACTACTACTGGTCTGCTTTATCATGAGTAGCTTGCATTTTCTGGAATTTTGTATAAAGTGAATCGTATAGCATGTGTTTATTTTCTATCTGCCTGTTTTCATTCATTCAAATTATTCTGAGATTTATTTATACTTTGTGAGTTTTCCTTGTTATTACTGTCATTGAGCAGAATAATTTGTACATATAAATGTCTGGGGATGTTTGGGTTTCATTCAGCATAGGGATATTCCCAATGAAAGAACTGCAAACATTTCATACAAGTATTTATGTGGATATGTGCTTTGAGTTCTTTCAGGTAAATGTTTAGAAATGGAATGCTTACTCATAACATTTTAAGAAGGTATCAAACTGATATTCAAAATGGATGAGCTACTTTACATTCCCACCAGCATTGTAAGCAGTACCAATCAGTTGTTCTAAATCCTTGCCAACAATCTGTATGGTTGGATTTTTTTTACTTTTATGTACTCTAATAAGTGTGTGTTGGTACTCTATTGTCGCTATAATTTGCATTTATCTGATGAATAATGGTGTTGAACATATTTTCATATGCTGATTTGATGTCCTTAGACCTTTGCTGATGAACTGCCTCTTTGAATGTTTTCAATGTTTTTAGGTTGGTTGTTGCTTTGCTTATTAAGTTTGAATTCTTTGTATACTTTTAGATAGATGTCTTTTAAGAAATATTGGCATTACAATTTCCCAAGTCTGTCACTTGTCTTATTATTTTCTTCATGGAATGAAAAGTGTAAATTCTTTAGTTTGTTCAAGTCCAGTTTATAATTTAGCTACATATGTTTATGTCATTTATAAGAAGACTAATCCAACTTTTAGGTCACAAATTTCTCTTCAAATGATACTATATTTTAACTGCACATTTTATATATAGATAGATAAGTAGATCAATTTTAGTGTATTAAATTATCAGTTATAAAATTTAATATATACAAATATTCTTATTTTGTGTTATCAACTATATACTTCAACTTTATTAAAGTTAATTCTAAATATATATATATAAATAAATATAAATATAAATTTTCTTCTGGGATGTTTTTCATAGATCATTTGACTTTGATTCTTTTTCTTTCCCCTTTAATTTTGCGTTTCTTTTCTTTTTTTTTTTTTTTTTTGCTTGAGACTGTTAGATGATGTTGAAAAGGAAGGCAAAAGTCAGTATCTCTCTTGTTTCCCATCTTCAGAGGAAATGAATACATTGAAGTTTCGCATATGATGTTAACTATAGGATTTTGTGTGGTTGCCCTTTGGCTAGTTGAAGAAAATCTCTAATAATTTGTTGAAAAAACAATTGCTTGAGTATATTTATAAGAATGATATAGGAATTTTAAAAAATAGTTTCATGATGTGAGATGGTTAATTGTATGACTTTTCTTTTTTTAGCTTATTTGATTTTTCCATTTTTAAGCTAGCCTTGTATCTCTAGAATCCACACATGTCTGTCTCTAGAATAGATAAGGTAAGGATGTACATATTTTTATATATTGTCAGGTTTGATTTACTTACCCGCTAAGAATAATTGCAGCTGGGTGCTAGAGGCTTATCCCTGTAATCTTAGCTAAGGAGGAGGCTGAGGTCTGAGGATGTCAGCTCAAAGCTAACCAGAGCAGAAAAGTGTGTGAGACTTATTTCCAATTAACCAGCAAAGAGCCAGAAGTCAAGGTGCAGCTCAAGTGGTAGAACATAACCTTCAGTGGGATAAAGAAAAGCCAAGCCAGAGTGTGAGGTCCTAGTTGAAGCCCCAATACCAGCACACACAAAATAAGTTCTTATCTATACTTTATGGAGGCTGTTAGTCAATAGAGCCTATAATCTTCTTTCTCTCTCTTTCCTTCCTTTCTTCTTTTCTTTCTTCCCTTCCCTTTCCTTCTGTTCCTTCCTCCCTCCCTTCCTCCTTCCCTCTTTCCTTCCTTCTTTCCTCTCTTCCTTCTTTCTTTCCTCCCTTCCTCCCTCCTTCCTTCTTTTTCATTCATTTTTCTTATGATACAAGAGTTTCAGCTGATGGGCTGTGAAGGTAGCTCAGTGGTAGAGCGCTTGCCTTGCATGTATGAGGCCCTGGGTTAGATTCCTCAGCACCACATAAGCAAAAAGAAAAAAGCCGGAAGTGGTGCTGTGGCTCAAGTGGTAGAGCACTAGCCTTGAGCTGAAGAGCTGAGGGACAGTGCCCAGGCCCAGAGTTCAGGCCCACAACCAGATCCAAAAAAAAAAGAGTTTCAGCTGATAACTTTACACTTGCTACACATGTCTCCAATGCACAATATTCTTTACTCCCTTTATATTACCCATAGAGTCTTCAGTGAACTCACTTTTTCTCATTCTTGGTAGAGTGTGTGTGTGTGTGTGTGTATGTGTGTGTGTGTGTGTGTGTGTGCTTGTTCTTTCTGATCAGTTTGATTAGGGCTTTATGACGTTTCTTCATTTTCAAGAGGCAGCTTTGAGTTCATTGGTTTCTGCTACTTACTTTCAGTTTTCTAGTTTTGGGTGGTTGACACTGAGGTCAATGATTTGTGACCCATTTTTCCATAATATAAACATTTGTGTTATAAATTTCCATGCAAATACTATTTTAATTGTGTGTACTTATTTTGTATTTTTTCATTTTTATTTAGCTTATGGTATTTTCTCTACAGTTCTGGATTTATCTTCTGATTCATATTCTCATTTATCTTTGCAGATCATTTAAAAGTGTATTAATTAATTTCCAGATACTTAAAATTTTCAGGATATTAACAATGTTATTCAGTCTAGCTAGTTTAATGACTAAATTAATTCCACTTTTGTTAGAGAACATATACTATATGACTTGAATCCTTATACATTTATTGAAACTTGTTTTATGCCCCAGACCATATTCCATCTTACATATTATCTGTGCGAACTTGAAAAAGTATAACCTATTGTGACTAGGTGATGCTTTAATAA